AGTCAAATTTGCTAGAGCGAATCTTGGAGGAGAGAGAGAGAGTATGCCAAATTCCGTTCCTGTTGATGCACTCAGAGAAGAATACGAAGAGGTTCAACTTTGCTGCGGGAAGGCGTTGAAGAAAGATGAGCGATACCAAGACCAATCGATAAATTGTTGCATGAGTAATCCAGAGAGACTAAACTTTAGACACCCACGTTCTGCATATGTTATATTTGTTGGAGGAAGGAGATGAATGCAGATGCGTGTCCCTGGCACAGAACACTGCCAATTTCAATGATCCAACATCGCACAAGCATGTTTACTGCAATAAGCCTGCAAGACGGCGAAGACAACCTCGGTGTCAGACGGCTAACTCCACATATTGCAATTAAAAAAGAAACAATTCAGGCACTTCCAACATATTTAAAAAAACGCAGTCATCTTCCATGTGTTAGGGGGAAACGAGGATAAAACAGCCAGAGCAAATAAACTTGTAAACATACGAGCATTTTTTTAGACCTTTCTTAGGAGACAATGGAAAAGCGTGGATTTATTTAAGAAACAAACGTCTCACCAATAAAACCACACTCCCCGATAAGTGTAGGTTTAAACTGATTCAGACGAAGGATTTTGCGAGTACGATTAATGCAAGGGAAACGTCGCCCTTTCGAGTATGCCACGAAAACGGACCCTCCGATCATTTTGATGCATGCGAATTCAGGGCAAGCGGAATTCGCAGAACACGGCCTTCACATCCGAGCATCTGGCGTCGTTCCACTGGTCGATGAACGTGCTGGTCGCCCAAGGGAGAGTCCAACGAAGCTCCATGCATTGCTCCGGGATCCCGTTGAAATTGAAGGACGGCTGCCCGGGATACCAGAAGGTCTGACCCGACACGGGGGTCCCTGCGGCAAGGACGGAATGCCGAGATGACGATGGGATCCACCGTTGCGAGTGCAACTCCTCCATTCATCCTCCGGAAAGACCAAACTCTCTTTTTCAGAAAACGATTCCTAATACGTATCGCCTCGTGCCACCGAGGACGGTCGCATCGGACTCTCCTTCCGATGACAGTCTCGGATCGTTCTCAAACAATATGGGAGCGACATTCGTTAGCTGCTCGACTTGCACTCGGCTAGAATTCTTGCTTAGACAGTAACGTAACAGTAACGACAAAAGTTTAATACCAAATCGATTGCAATGAATTCCACTACCATCTCTCAAATGCACTGTAATATCGACAAGTCAGCGTTCGCGCGAGATCGGGGAAGTTCTTACCGTCGTTCCAGTAATAGACGTGGTTGCCGTCGAGGTCGTTGCCCCCCACCCAGAAGTTGCTCGTCGGTCCGATTTTCGACGTAGCGTATTGCAGGAGGAAGTTGTGCCATGCGACTCCTTTGTCGTCCTGGACGAGGTTGGCCTTGTCGGGCTGGCAAGCGGCCACCCCGGTTGGAAAATTCATACTTGCGGCCAAATTCTTGAGAAAATGGATCTTTGTCGTGATCATCGCGAAGGCGTAATCGGGTGGGATGAGGTTCTCTGCAAAAAAAAAAACATCGGTGAAGTGATCCGTGCGAAGCGCCAAGTTTCGATTGTGCAATTGAACGAGTGGAACGCATGGCGATCTCGTCGCTTCGGAAATCGAGCGAATCGCAAAATGATCCACGTGGCGACCGTCGCGACTGAGAAGCTCGCTATTGTTTCTCGTGCATGGGAAACATGATCTTAACATTTTCCGTACCGCTCACGGAGATTCTCGTATTTGGGACATTTCGCGAGTCAATTTCCTCAGCCTATTGTCGAAAAAGTGATAGCCTAAAGCTTGATGCCTGCAAGACTAAGGCCGGAGCGGCAGATCGACGGGGTAAAATGTCCGCTATGCAATGGGCTAAAAGCGCGAGACAGTTCCTGGATTTGACACGGGGACGATCAGGCTTAAACAATCCGCAAAGAGAAATATAGGCTGGGCGGGAACTAGAACACAGTGACTAGTTATTTACCTTATCTCAGAGACCTGAGATGTGGTAATTTTAGTTAACTTTTTTGTTTTCATGAGCTTTTCTTTTCTCATATATTTCATGAATACGCGTATCAAATCATACCCGAGCGAATTACGACCTTCGGAAAATTCTTCACTTCAAGAAGACCGATCGAGTAATCGACCCGTGAAATCCGAACGAAAGACATCATATTGAGTCATCAAAGGGATTCGCCAGGTGCTTACGGTCAACAAAGAGGGAAGCAGACATGCCGGCGGGATTTGTCGAGACGGCGGAAACATTGCTTCCCAGCTGGCAGACCGTGGTGCTGGGCCGAGTCTCGAGAGAAAACACCCGGCAGTTCGCGTTCCTTTCGATCGTAGAAGCGAATTAGTTAGTAGATCCATCCCGCGAGTAAATTCCCTCGAGGCAAGTTTACCTGAGGCAGGCATCCGCGCAGGCGACGGCGTTCCAGCCGGTGATGCTCGCGAGGGGATTCGCGATCGTGGCGTTCACGCCGTCGATGACGGTGAAGATCGTCTGTCTGATGTCCAACGCCAGTGCGGTCTCGAGCGGGCACAACACGACGAGGAAACTCAGCTGGCAAGGGTAAATATATATCGTCCCTTCTGGCGAGTCTGGAGTCTTTCAATGATTTCCGACATGTTTCTTGGTTGAAATTTCCCATCTGAAGGGCCGATCGGGAATTTTTCTTTTTCGTACCTCACATGGTGACAAATAAGTTCTGTCCCTGGTTTCAAAAGTGAGCAGTCCTCAAGTGAGCACTACTCACGCTAAACTATATTTACATTTTGAGTCTCGAGAGTCCTCGCGATCGTTTTCTGCCACAGTTTCGCTCAAGCACTCATGCCACTAACTTCGGCGGAACGACTGACTGCAGTTGTGGCTTCGCATAAGTGGGGCCACTCTCGAGCATGCTGGGAACGACCGAGTTCTCGCGGAACTTTGTCGGTCGGACCGTCGACGGCTTCGCCGAGACCGGGAGCAGAGCCGACCGACCGGGAAGTTTACCGTCCCCTTGCTGACATCGGCTCCGAAAAGGTGAAGAGTCGGGTGAGGCCGCGAAACGAAGAGAATACAACTTGGAATAAATCTACAATGTAGAGAAACACAAATTAAAAAATATTCCTTTGATGATTGAGCGACTGCTTACCAGACCGCGGGAAAATGCCGATGCGTTTTGGCGCATCAGCCCAAACATAAAAATTAATGAGAGTTTTAATTTCTGTCAATGTATGCTGCATGGATGAAAAGCTTCATGAAGACACAATTCAACGACGTGAACAGTCCTGCTGTTTTCTCGGCCACTCTCATGACCGAACGACTACCTCTCGAGAACTCCGTCGATGTTGACATGCAACCCCTTCTGCGAACACTGAAGGAGATTCCTCCAGACCAGGGGTTGGGAACCTTTTTGGCCATGTCAGTCAAGTTGAGATCGAGCTAAGTGCTTGCGAGCGAAAGATTCTCAAAATTATAAGTTTCTTTCTAAAGTTGGCAACATACTTGCATTATTTGATGCGTGAGAGAAACGAGGAACAACCCCGAATTTTCAGGAATGATTCAACGAGCCAAATTTTTCGGCTCGTGAGCCAAACTTGGCTCATGTCCTCAATTGGCGTCGTCGCCTCGAGGCAATTGTGGGAGCACCTTGTCGGAAATTTGAATGGCTTTGATTTAAATTTGAATAAAAGTTGTCTGACAAGTTAGTGATACGGAAATTTTTATTTTCTCTGAAGCTGTCAGAAAATTTTGGAATGCAGGAGTCCATTTAGAGTCTGGAGGGAGACAAATTCCAACCGTTTTTCGCCCCGAAATCCGTCCCGTCCCCAACTTGATGTTTGTGGAACCTACACCGTTGCGACAGAAAAATGCACGCGCTGTCCATTGCACGTAGGTTTAATCAATGTGGTTGTGCCGATAAAGCGGATGAAATTCTTTGTTACCCTAAAGTAAATGACGCTGGGGCGACTTCACAGCAAAGTGGGATTTTGCTTCATTTCCCATCAAATTCAAGAATTGGCACAATTAATTGAGAATGCGTACTTCATATCAATGTATATTAATACTATTCGTTGTTGCAGTTGAATTACCCTTTGCAGAACGTTCTCGGTTCTACGGAGCTATATTACGAGGGCTTGGATTAAGCGGAGAATTCCTTCTCGAACCCATCCGCATCGATTGACTTGTCGGCCCATCTCCCCTAATATTCTCCAGCAGGGTTGCAAGCTGCCGGTGCCCAAATAGGGGCTAATCGAAAAAAAAAATAGCTTGTCTTGTCTTGACGCCGGCCCTCATGTCTTGCTGGAGGCCACTTCTGCCGATCTTTCCCGAACAATAACATCTATTGGAGTATACAGTATTTCAGCCCGGGTGTAGGAATCGGCGGAGGAAAATAGCGGCAAAAAACCGGTAAATCATTGCACTTCCTTTCCCGTTACGCTTTTGCAAGATGTGTCGTTAAACGCTCTTATCCCATTTAGTGCCACGGGAACGATATATAGTCGAGCAAACCTATCGATCGGCTACATGGAACTAAAAGCTTCTTACCCATTGCTGCTCCTTAACCCTAACAACCGACGGACAGACAGGCCTGAATGTGGTGCTGTCGTTTTAATAATGATCCAGATAACTATCACGGAGGTGCCAATTAGATGTCATATGTAAGCATATGATTTTATGTTTCTGAATCTACACGCCACAAATGGCACCGATGCCGGCCGATGGTTGCGAGATGAAAATCGGCCATCGGCCCACCGGCCATTCGTGACCATCGGGTCGGGCATAATAATGACATTTCCCATCCCCCCCCCCCTTCGTAGCTTGATGTTAAAGACCTGACTCGTCGTTCCGCAACGTCGACCCCGCGATCGTCTCGGGTTTCGCGTGATCCCAGAGAAAGCATGCGGAACGAATCGGATCTGCTCCGAATGAGATTCGTGAATGTCGTGTACGATCTTCTCTTCCAGTGTCTGAGAGTTTCCCGAAAATCGATTCATCTGTGGCATGCCCGTGCGGAGTTTTGGAGTGCTGCGGAGTCTTCTGTGATGCGAAGCTCAGCATGAATGCCCCTCGCGAATATCAGCGATTGGCCACTGTCAGTGACATCGCGGGTTTCAAGTGCCACAGAATGAAATAAACACTCATTTTTGGGCCAATTTTTCGAATCTTTCAATATTTCTTCTGCCACTCTGGTCATCTGCCTGACGAGACCACCCGAGTGACTCAATGATACTTTTTTCCGAGAATGGCCGGCATGCACTCCTTCAGAAAACGGCTTGTCATACTTCCCTAGTGAATAGGAAACACGATGACTAACCCCGACTGAAGCCATCTCAGCCTCGCACAATTTTCTTAGTGCTTTTTTGCAATGTACACAAGCTTTTCGTCAATCATGAGATTTTATCAATGCGGATTTCAGCAGCGTATTCACTGTAATTGGCTTCGTGCGTGCTGTCGTAGTGCCGCTTGGTATTTTACTTCATCACAGCAATGATTTCATAGCAGAGGAGGAACAAAACTTTATCCTGGTGTACATCGTAAAAATACTCGTCCATTTTTCTTGGGACACACGATTTTACGTTGCAAGGGACTCGAGTATACTTTTAAAACACATCCTGTACGATTTTCCATCGTCAGAGTAACAGTTCTTTCTGACCCCACTCTCCTTTATTATCCTTATTGTGCTTGCGATAACGCATAATCGCGCAATGTTTTCTCTCTGAATTATTAAAAAGTGGGGCCATAATAATAAGTGGGGCAACCCTGCTGCAAACTAGACTAACATCAACCTTATTATCTAAAGGCAGTGTTTTTTCCTTCCCCGCGACCTTCGAGGGGGGGGGGGGGGGGGGGAAGGCGATCGAATACAATCTGAAAACGGTGGACGACACACGTGAGCGAAACTGGGGAGGCGGAAGGATCATTTCTGTCATTTATGTAACTCCTAATTCTTTATATACCTTCTGAATCCTAATCTTAAGTCTAAACCTTACCCTCCAGCTCACTGCCGATGAGCTGGAGATGATTTTTCCAGTTTAGATGCATTCTTCGTAAATCTTCTCCCTCGAATATTCCTCGATACTGAAATACTGTACTGAGAGATGTCGCTACAAGATTTCCGCGAGAATAAGTTAGAGGATGCAGGCGGTAACGACGAGGGAGACACGACGAATAAACTCAATTGTAACGGCTAACCAAAGGAACCCACAGTGAGAGGAGGGAGGGGAGGGGAGAAGGATGAATCCATTCGATTAGCGTCGAATGGGAGGACCGGAGCGACGGAGGCGATGAGCAAGAGTGAACAGCGGCATTCCTCGTTTATTTCTCCAATGTTTCCCGTGGATTCGTTCGAAGGGGGAGTGACGCCGAGAACTATTTGTGCGATTGTAGCCGTTTCGCGGTAGCCCACAATTGCAGTGCGTGCTGTGAACGTGGCGTTCTCTTTTCATTTTGTGGGGACAATGATAAAATATCGTCTTCTTTATCGGGTCAATCGCTTGGTGGTTGTTGGTCTATGAACTTTTCGAAATATCCAAGAAACTAAAGCCTCCTATTTGTATTCGTATCAGTCACAAGTTCTTTTCTACCTTCTCCAAGGATATGAATGACCCGAAGGGGGGGGGGGGGATCTCCCGCTCGCACAACCTTCGCCGTTGCCGAGAAACCCTTTGCGTGCTGTCGCTTGCTCGGTGAGTTTACGACTTCATTTCTTCTTCTCAGATGGCCTGAATATATTTGTAAGCTTTATATGGAAATATGATAGAGATGCATTTTGGCGATAGACAGCGCCAGTTGTCTCCCGAGAAAGTGTGAATATTTCAGGAATCGCAATATGGGATGCTGCGTGGCGAAATTTCTCTTTGTCCCTCTACCTGACCGGGTAATGTGGCTACCGTGACAACGGAAAGAGGGCACTGGAAAACCGAAAAACAGAACTAATTGCCAAGCGTGATTAGAATAGAGCCCCTTGTCAATATCCATGCCCATTACAAGGCAGGCACGAAGTCTGCACCCCGATCGATGGACCCTTCAAATATACTGATTGCGTTGTCCGTAGGACGATTTAGGAAATTACCCGCTCAATCAACGCAGACGGATGATTGCCGTGCTGATACCGTACTCAGTACTTAATCGAGCTTTTGATATTCATTCGATCAGTACGGTTATTAAGATGAAGATTTGGCTGTTGGAGTGAAGAACACGATTACAGTCTGGTGGATACAACTAGAAAATACGTGGGTGGTTTCTAGGCATGTAGGATGCTTGTATAGAGCCTGGCATCCATTCTTCCTTGGATTTGACAGTCAAACCCGACTCCTTTGGCCGTCATGCAGCCCCAAAACATCAGGCCTCCTCCACAATACTTGCGGGTCTCCCTCACGTGTCGCTCTGCTAGGGCTTCGCCGTGCCTGTTTCCATGTCCAATCACGCCCATTCGACCTCAGAAGGTTGATTTTTGTCTCGTCTGACCAAATTATGCGTTTCCAGTCCTCTACAGCCCTTTACAGCGAATTCTAGCCGCTGTCGGATATGCCACGGCTGGAGTTGCGGCTTCTTTCGCTTGGTTGTTGCCTTCAGACCAGCTTCTTTCAGAGCTCTGCGAACAGTTTTGGCACTGCATTCTACCAAGGTGCTGCTTTTGAGCTGCCTCGTCGCTGGCACTGCTGTGTCAACCTGACCCAATGTCACCATCCTGATGGCTCTGCGCTTGTCGGCGGCGGAAAGCTTGGATGGACGCCCACCGTTGCTCTTTGATGCGTCGGGTCTGACTCGAGAACGCACCCGGGATACGGTGGTATAGCTTATGCCAAGCTGGGCTGCAATTCGACGCGTCGAGAGGCCATGGTCGACGAGTGAGGCGATGCTGTCGCGAGTTTGTTGGGAAACAGGTTTCATGTTGCCAGGAACGTTCAAATGGAACCCAACCCCACCCANCGGGTGGTTGGGTTCAGGTTTCCATTTTTTTAATATGAGCATAATTTTTTGAAGTCGGGTTAGACATCCATTGCCATGTAAATATTCTACTTCCTTGTGTCTGAGGATGTGATCCAAAATGATCTATCGCTTAGGACCGGGGGTAGGAGCGTGTCTATTCGTGGGTTTCCGACGTCTATTATTAATCTCAGCCGAACGAAGAGAAACAAAGCAATTTTTGCTTTTCCGTACCATAGCAATACTTCACCAATGGGTTCAATCACAATGGGAAACAGGCTTTTCTCCACATGCTCTTCACTCACACGACTGGATTTACTTAGTTGCTTCTTAGGTTTGACAGTAGGAATGCCTCCGAAAGCAGGAAGAAGATATCGCATTCAGATCAGACTCCCTCCAATCAATGAAATCCTGTCAAGTAACAGAATTCCGGCCGTTTTCTCCTAAATGTTCCCGGGGGGGGTAACAAAAAAAGCCCCAGTAGTGTTGCCAGTCATTGTCCACTATGCAATTGAACCCCCCTAGTAATTTTTTTGTTGTAGGATAATTTTTCTTGAACAGGATTCATACATCGACATTTGGACGTCATGACAGTTTTGGATAGGATTAATTTCATGAATTCTATTTTTGGCATTTTTCTACCTCTCAACAATTTACACTAACAAATGTAATGAATACATTAATAGAAATGGGCAGGGAAATATAAAGATGTTGTTGATAGTATCTCTGAAAAAGATGGGCCATGTCTTCAAATTTTCGTGTTCAAAATAAGTAAAATTTCAATGCAATTTTAGATAGGAAAACAGTTTTAAAATGCACGGATGTGTTTCCCAAGCCGTATTCAACCCATCACATCAAGTATATGTTTTCCTGTTCGAACATGATCGAGGTGAAGTTAAGCGCTTCATGATGAATGTGGTCTCGAGAGGGTCGAGGAAAAACATTTTTCAACAATCAAGATTTCAGAAAAAAAAGACCCAATTACCTAGGTATATGACTCGACAGAGCTTTGAGAGGTCTATCATTCGATGGCATAAGCAACGCTGTACTTGGAATCAAAGAAAAGTTATTAAAGGTCAAAGTTGAACAAATATGGAAAAATATGCATCTTTTTCTACACTTAGCACCATTTTGGAGCGACTTAAAAACAAAATACGTGTATCTTTGGATGAACCTTATAGAAAACGGTAGATACCCCCAAGTCCCCAAGCTGGTTGAGTAATATGAATTTTTTTAAGTGGAAAATTTGATTATTTCATGAATTTAATGAAACTGTAATTAAGGCACGGAAGAACGCGTAGATAAAGTTTAAGATGCCTGGCTACAGGCTTTGAAACGAGGTGTTATTCATATTTCTAGAATAAGTAGTTCGGGAGATGTTGCATTTGTTTGAGGGGTCATTTTACCCTTCCCTTTCAAACTTTCAAAGGGCATACAATGAGGGACAAAACTGTTGCAATGTTCGACACAATGCCAGTTTATGACTCATGTCTCGAGTATAACGTGTTCCATTTAGCTTAAATTTCAGTCAATCATACTCCTACTTCCTGGCTTTTGATTGGCGCTAGTCACATGTCAATCGGCCTCCAATTGTCCAAGTGGCAGTTGTTCAAAGCGAACGAGGTCATTGCAACAGTTTTCTCCCTTTCACTCAGGCATACGAAAAAACAAATTTATTAATTCTTTGTGTGCTTGCCTTTGGCCTTCAACATTGCCTGAACCCTTCTAGGCATGCTTTCGATCAAATCCAAGCATGTTTGGAAATGGAATGGCGTCCCACTCAGACTTGACCCGCTGCCAGAGCTCGTGGATGCTGACGGGCTCATTCTCGTACCTCGCCAGCCTCCGCTTCAACTGTTGCCACAAGTGCTCTATTGGGTTGAGGTCTGGCGACTGTGCTGGCCATTCTAGGACCTCGATTCCATGGTCCTGGAACCATTGGCGAGCCAGCCGCGAGGTGTGCTTCGGATCATTGTCCTGCTGAAACACCACCTCTCCCACTTCGAGGCGGTAATGCGCCAGTGTCTGGAGCAATTTTTCCTCGAGGATGCTTGTATAGAGCCTGGCATCTATTCTTCCTTGGATTTGACAGCCAAACCCGACTCCTTTGGCCGTCATGCAGCCCCAAAACATCAGGCCTCCTCCACCATACTTGCGGGTCTCCCTCACGTGCCGCTCTGCTAGGGCTTCGCCGGGCTGTTTCCATGTCCAATCACGCCCATTCGACCTCAGAAGGTTGATTTTTGTCTCGTCTGACCAAATTATGCGTTTCCAGTCCTCTACAGTCCTCTACAGCGAATTCTAGCCGCTGTCGGATATGCCGCGGCTGGAGTTGCGGCTTCATTCGCTTGGTTGTTGCCTTCAGACCAGCTTCTTTCAGAGCTCTGCGAACAGTTTTGGCACTGCATTCTGCCGAGGTGCTGCTTTTGAGCTGCCTCGTCGCTTGCACTGCTGTGTCAACCTGACCCGATGTCACCATCCCGATGTCTTTGCGCTTGTCGGCGGCGGAAAGCTTGGATGGACGCCCATCATTGCTCTTTGATGCGTCGGGTCTGACTCGAGAACGCACCTGGGATACGGTGGTATAGCTTATGCCAAGCTGGGCCGCAATTCGACGCGTCGAGAGGCCATGGTCGACGAGCGAGGCGATGCTGTCGCGAGTTTGTTGAGAAACAGGTTTCATGTTTCTAGGAACGTTTAAAACGATAAGGATATGGCCAGTATACTGGCCGAGTTCTTCGCTTCCGTTTTCACGGTGGAATCCGACTCGGCACCGACTTTGGAGGAGGTGACCTCGGC